ACACATGTTGATTTCTGTATCAACAATCTGTCTGGGGTAATTCCACCTCAAATTAGTTACCTTTCCAAGCTTGTCTATCTTGATTTTTCCACCAATCAGTTTTTCGGGACAATCCCACCAGAAATTGGCCTGCTACAATATCTTGAGATCCTCCACCTTGCTGAGAATCATTTCAACGGCTCATTTCCTCAAGAAATAGGTCACCTGAAGTCTCTTAGGGAGCTTGATATGTACACCAACAACTTAAAGGGTCCCATACCTGCATCTCTAGGCAACTTGACCAATCTGGCTTGGTTATCTCTCTCTAGTAGTTCCTCCTCAGGTTCCATTCCCCCAGAAATGGGAAATCTCTCTAGCTTGGTTGAACTTTACCTAGACAACAACCTTTTAACTGGTCCTATTCCTTCCGCCTTCGGAAACTTGAGAAACCTTACCCTATTTTACTTGTTCAACAATAGTCTTTCTGGTCCAATCCCATCTGAGTTAGGATACATGACATCTCTCACCTATCTCAGCCTTCAAATGAACAATCTCTCTGGTGCCATCCCAGCATCATTAGGTAACCTAAGAAACCTCCTTGAACTCAAGCTCTATGAAAATCAACTCTCCGGTTCCATACCTAATGAGATAGGAAACCTGAACTCTCTTGTTGACCTGGAGTTGAGTGAAAATCAACTCAGTGGCTCACTCCCCTCCATCTTTCACAATCTGACCAGCTTGAATATTTTACACCTCCGTGCCAACCAACTTTCTGGTTCCATTCCTCCAGAAATTGGAAATCTTAAGTTGTCTATATTGGAAGTAGACCACAACCAGTTCACCGGACGGTTGCCACAGAACGTTTGCCACAGAACGTTTGCAAAGGTGGATTACTGAGAGATTTCACTGCAAGTGAAAACCAATTAGAAGGTCCAATCCCTAAAGACTTGAAAAACTGCACCAGCTTAGAGAGAATCTTCTTAGGAGGAAACCGTCTCACGGGAAATATATATAGTGATTTTGGTGTCTACCCCAACCTTTACATCATAGATCTTAGCCATAATAAGTTCTATGGTGAACTGTCGTCTAGTTGGGGAAGGTGCCCAAACTTAGCCACCCTAAAGATCTCAGGCAACAATATCACTGGTAGGATCCCGCCTGAGATTGGAAATTCAGGACAACTGCGGAGACTTAACCTTTCTTCAAATGGTATTGTTGGAGATATTCCAACTGAGTTGAAAAGGTGGACTTCTTTGTTCGAGCTTGCTTTAAATGGGAAT